CACACACACACACACACGCACGGACACGTACATACATACACACACACACACACACACACACACATACACACACACACACACATGCACGGACACGTACATACATACACACATACACATAGACAAAAGAGAACAAAACAACAACAACAACAACAACAACAATAATAACAACAACAACATCAACAAGTACAATAATAAACAACAACAACAACAGCAAAACAAGATTAGCGCCGACACAAAACGAAAACTTGGTTCTATCTCAGAATTACAAAGTTTTATGCTCGCTTTTCTTATAGGACAAGCGGACTAACCCAGATTTCGGGGGTTTCAGAAATCTTGACCTACACCAAAAGTGGGCATTGTCCTTCCTATAGGAGAAGTTTGGTCTCAGTGGTGTGTATATATTTGTTTGGTTATAGAGAAAACTCTCCTTGTCTTTTAAAGAAACTGAACAAGGGGCAAGAACTTAAACTTCGATTTTCTCAAAACAGCATTTTTTGGGATACCCCCCTCCCCCCTGTGCTTAAAAGCGATCCCATCTGCTCAGTACCTAGTTTTGAGAAGCTTGACGTAAACATTTTATCTTTTTTTTTAGTTTCACAAGTTAAGCTTTGCCTAATGCAATTCTTTGAATATACAGATAATGAATTAATGATTCCGAACAATCTTACGATTTTGATAGAGCAGATACAACATAAATTGGTTTCTTACCTCATGGTCTTTGTAAATGAAAACGTGGGTGGTTGGCGGTTGCTCTGGTGTGGTTTGGTCTTTCTTTCCTATAAAAAATCTATCCGTCTTTATCTCCCCTCCTTTTTTGTGTTCATTACTCTCTTGTAACACCTCTAATCTTCTGCACTTAAATGACCTTATTGTGTTGCAAGTGCCGTAAAACGCTTACTAAAACGAAATAAACAAGAAAATGAAAACGGCCCAAATTGTCAGACAAAATGTTGTAATTTTAACCCTATCCGCACGTCGTGTTTTACTAATGTATCCATACGACATGGGAACCCTGTGCCACCACTTTCCAAAGAGGAAATTTACTCGTTAATCAGATCCGTACGCTTTGCATAGCAGTCTGTCAAAATGATTTTTTGAGAAATACTGAAAGTTTCAAAGAGATCTTCGCACTTGAAGTATTCTAAAATGTAAAGAATACAACTCCGGGGGTACAAAATGACCCCAGGGCGTACGGATAGGGTTAAGGTAGAGGTAAATGAACACTCCCACCTACCTCTGTGACCATGGAGAGCCCGATGAGGTAAGAGACAAGACAGACTCCGGCGATGAAGAGCTCTCGGTGTTTGCGCAGGGTGCGGGGGAACTCATCAATGATGGCGGTGAAGAAACCCTCCATGGTGCAGAACTGTGGGAGGGAAGGGTGGGAACTTGTTGTTGTTGTTGTGGTGATGATGATGTTGTTGTTGTTGGTGGTGGTTGTTGTTGGTGGTGGTGGTAGAAGTGGTAATTGTGTATGTTGATGGTGGTGGTGATTGAGGTGGTGGTGATTGAGGTGGTGGTGAAGAAGCCCTCCAAGGTGAAGAACTGGAAGAGGGAAGGGTGGAAACCTGTTGTTGTTGTGGTGGTGATGATGATGTTGTTGTTGTGTGTGTGTGGTAGCCTATCTGTATGAAATGTTTGGAGCCCCAAAGAGCGTGCTCTTCGCCAGGGCCACAGCCTCTCTTGGGTAGCGGGTGAGGCAGTCCAACCTCCCTGATTCCTCCCCAAAGAGATGCCACCGCCGGACCTCCGTGGCGGGGCATCTCTGCAGCCAGTGCTCCAAATCTTGGGGCTCCTCGCTGCATAATGGACAGATTGGGTCCGATGTTTTGTCTATTTTATTTTTATAAGCCCGCAGCCCAGAGAAGTGAATCGGCCTGATTTTTGCCAGTAGTGACTGGTCACTGCGGGACTTAATTTTAGCCTCTCGTTTTAAGGAAATTGCAGTGAGTGATGATCGCGCCAACAGGCAGCCTTCTGTGCTTCTCTCAATATGTGGTGTTCCTGACTGTTTTAATTCCTGGATATTTTTAAAAGTTATATCATCATGTGCGTTAAGTTTCGGTGATTGTTGTGTTGTTGTTGTTGTTGTTGTTGGTGGTGGTGGTGCTGGTGCTGGTTGAGGTGAGGTGGGGGTGTTGGTTTGGAGGGGGAGGTGGGGAGCATTGCTGATTTTGGAAAGGAGAGGGAAGTGGGGGGGGGGGGTATGATGAAATTGTTGGTAGTTTTGGAGGTTGAGGTGGTGATGAAAGTGATGGCAGTGGCGACGATGGTGATGATGGCGGTGGTGGTGAGGGGGGGGGTGATAAATGATTCTGGTACTGATGATGGTGATGCCACTGCTGTGACTGCACTGCTACTGCTGCTTGTAATGCTGCTGCTGCTGCTGCTATTGTTACTACAACTGCTGCTACTGCTATTGTTACTACTACTACTACTGCTGCTACTGTTGCTACTGTTACTGCTGCTACCAATACAGATGCTGCAGATAATGAAGATGATGATGATGATGATGATGATGATGATGATGATGATGATGAGGAGGAGGAAAATGACGATAATGATGACGATAATGATGGTGCTAGCCGACCTGACTGTCCATGCCCAGCATGAGAAGCATAAGGAAGAAGAGGATGGCCCAGAGCGGAGAGATGGGCAGCTGGGTCACCGCGCTGGGATAGGCCAGGAAGGCTAGGCCGGGGCCTGTCCGGGGAGAAACGGGAGGGTTAAGATCAGATAAGATAAGATAAGATAAGATTGATGTGTATATGAAGCTTCTTACTTGTTCTATTTCATGTTTATTCTGTCTTGTTTCAGATGTCTAAAATGAGAATGTCGAATTGTGTTGATTAAAATCAAAACTTCTTTGGTCATCATTCTTTCGATTTCATTCATTCTCACTACAAAGATACGATACGATAAGATAAGATTTGATCAGATAAGATAAGATAAGATAAGACAAGACAGGATAAGATAGGATACGGTAAGATAGACAAAGTAAGATAAGATAAGATTATATATAATAGGATAAGGTAAGATACGATCAGATAAGATAAGACAAGATACGATAAGATAAGACAAGACAAGATAAGATACGATAAGATAAGATAATTTTAGATAACTTAAGGTAAGATAAGGTTGTTGTTGTTTTCAAATCTCTTTAGCTGCAACCAGTTCGCTCTAGGTAAGATAAGATAAGATAAGATAAGACATGGTAAGATGGATAAGACAAGATAAGGTGAGATAAGGTAAGATTACATAAGATGCGATAAGATAATATAATATAAGATATTGTAAGATAAGATAAGATAAGATAAGATAGGATATGGTAAAACTTTATTATTCCAGAGGGAAATTTTTCTTGGCTGTACAGGACCGTAAAAACACATGCAGGTATACATAAACATTTAAATTTTATATTACACTCATTAAAATTCAACATGAAAAGAGAAGTAAAGCTGACAAAAACTACATATCACATAAAATTCATCATTCAACCCCATACAGGAATTTGATTACAAAACCTTCGGCGTTATATATAGATACATACTCTGGTGTTTAGTTTATGTAAATGTTTCACGGCACTTGCAACACAAAAAGGTCATATAAGTGCCGAAGATTAGAGGTGTTACAAGAGAGTAACAAACCCAAAAAAGAAGGAGGAGACTTAAGGACGATAGATATTTGATAGGAAAGAATGAACAAACCACACCAGAGCACCCACCAACCACCCACAACAGGAGGGAGAGAGGGGGGAAACATGAACGTGTGAGAATATTTGATGATGGCAGCGACAACGACAACGACAAGGACAACAACGTTCAAGAGTTCCCAT